AAATGATTGTAAAATTTCTATCTTTTGAATATAGGTTGTTTGTATTTCTGGAAATTGCTATGTGGTTAAGTATTATTTTTTTTGGATTTGTGAACTTCATAATTTAAGTCATTATTAAAGATTAAAGTGTATTGTCTAAAATGTCATACATTATTCCTAATCCAAAACCAATTCAGTGATTTGAAGAACGATGTGAATTAAACTGGTCTAGTTCAGTAATCGTTCAGCAGGTTTGCTTGAACTTTTGTTTCCAATTCTTGCCACTGCAAATTCAGTCAGTCAACTCTTGGGTAAGGTTCATTTACTTATTCAAAAAATCCAAGCTTCTTTCCGCATGCTCAATGTCTATGTATTTATGAATGTTGTAACAACCCCGACCTCCAATTTACGTTAATTCGTGATTAAATGAGCTTAATCAGTAATTAAGAGAAATTCTGAATTAAATTGCATGTTTGTTGCCTTATTTATGTTTATATCTGTTTAACGTAGAAAGATCTGTTTATGTTTTTGTTTTAGTTTACAAATTGAAGACCTTATCAGCATCTCATTCAGAAATTGATTTGGTATATATGTTATTTAGAATTTTTAGAATTTTATAGAAGGTTCAATTGAAATTCAAATTCGGAACCAAATAATCAGAATGAAACAAGTATAATTGTTTAATTAATCAAAAACTAATTAATCTCACTAATGGTACCTATATAAGTCATATGTTGCCTCATATCACCACTACACACACACACTTTATCATCTTTTGCCATCAAAAACATAGGAGAGAGAGAGAGAGAGAGAGAGAGAGAGAGAGAGAGTTAAGTGTAAAAGCTTGAGCTCATAAGAAAAAGGGATTTGGATTGGGAAGAACTTAGAGCATTTGACTTGGGAACTCAAACATCTACATATCTAGGCCATAATTGAGCACCTAAGGTAAGAAGTCAAGCCTTTAGTTGTGTTATTGAGGTACTTAACACATATATTTAAAGGAATTAGATGAATTGAAGCAAGAATTAAGCTTCTTAGAGTAGACAAGAAGAGTATACATACATGCATGTACATTACATTGCAATTAGAGCATGATGTCTAAGAATTTGTCACATGCATGTTCATATTTTGGTTTTAGTTTAAGAATTCAACTTGTTTTTGTGCCAATATCTCTATTAACCATGTTTTGGAAAGTTGAAGCTCATACCATTGCATGCAAGTTAAGTTTTTGGAGTTACAAGTTGAGTTTTGAATAATTCACTTACTCTTGGGCCTTGATTTTATGAAAAGATCCTCAATTCTTCATGTTTAACAAGTTTACAAGTGTTTTCTTAAGTTTTGGACCAAAAAGGATGAGAGGTGAATTTGGAATTCCAGAATTCGACTCCTCCGCTTGAGCGTCAGATCCCACGCTCGAGCAAACACTCTGTGATCTTACACTTCTGCTCGAGCGACCAGAAGTTCGCTCGAGCGTGAAATGCATGCTCCTAGAAGTTTCATGTTTTTGCAGACCGCTCAAGCGACAAGAGTTGCACTCGAGCGGGGACATGAGCCTCACGCTCGAGCGACCATCGAGCGTTTGTCAGGTGTGAAAATCACATAACCAATACTTTTTTTAAATTTTGCAGGGCGCTTAAGCGTGGGAAGTTGCACTCGAGTGTCCCCTCATACACATTGCATGTCTGCTCGAGTAGGGGAAGCTACGCTCGAGCAAGGACCCTGTTTTCAGAAAATTTGAGCAAATGTTTTCAAATGCATTTTTGCATCATCATTCCATCCTAGGCATTCCTAGGCCAAGATTAAGGCACATTAATGAGGGGAAAATGTAGGAACACACTATGAATAGAACATAAAGAGTTAAGTACATTCCAACGTGTGTTTCAAATGTACACTTGTTGTGTGTTGATGTAGGTCATGTGCCGTAGATCGTTTCTGCTCTATCTGTCTGCACTCAGAGCCATCTGTGAGTAATAACTTAGTAAAGCTATGTTCAACTTTATTTTTTTTTTTTGTATGATGAAATAAGATATGTTCTCTGAAATGTAATGTTCTGTATAATAAATGATTGTCCAAATTCTGGCATATATGCGTGGCATCCTTAGCATCATGTGATATCTGTTAGATGTTACCCGGTATCGGAGGTTCCATAACTTAATATGTCTACAATCTGTTACCCGTACCGGAGGCTCCATCGTGGAGCACAGCATATTTGTCATCTGTTACCCGGATTTGAAGGTTCCTTTATGGAACTGGTTACTCATAACCTGCATCTGTTCTGTATCTGTTTTGTTAGCGTTAATGGATATACCACGTATGATTATGTATGAACTCTAAATTCTATGTATGATTTGGTTAAGATTATGAATTTGGATCTTCTACTATTTCTAAAATAAATATAAATCTATTTTCTGGAATTGATACGAGACATCATTCATGGAAACCCTTTTACCTTGTTATTATTCACTGGGTTTCCGCTCACTATTTATATTATGTATGTAGGTGACCAGGCACGTGATCAGGGCCAGAGTTGATGGCCTGGGATTCCGTTTTGTCAGCCATCCTTTGCGTCTCCCGAGGAGGTCCCGAAACAAGTCAAGTTATGTGGCCAAGTCTTTTTGAACGTTCAACACTTTGTTTTCTCTTGTTTAATGAACAGTTTGTTTATGGTTATCTGTACATTGGGTGATGTATAATTATTGTACCTATGTGATGTCATGATAAAGTTTAAAATTATTTTGTCCCATATACGTCTAGATAGCTCAATGGACGTTGTATTTTGTATATTTGCTTCCACAGCCCTTTGAATTATGTGTTATTATGTTCAGAGGCCTTTGATAATCCAAGGATTACTGGCCGATTACGATGCTAAATCCATAGGGGCGGGTTTGGGTAGTAACAGATGTGTTGGTAAACAATTTATTCTTTATGCTTTGATTTTAATTTTGATATATTAATTATGTTTTAGAATTTTGGTTAATTTTAGTCGCCAAAGGTCCTTTTTTAGTCGCCAAAGGTCGAATTTTCACTTTTCCCGACAAAAACTTTTAGTCGCCACTGTTGTCGCGAATTCATGGTCGCCCATTCCTTTGGCGACTAAAAACCTATTAGTCGCTAATTCACAGGTCTTCAGCGACAAATTTTTTTGTCGCCAAATGCAATTCCATTTTTTGAAATTATACATTTAGCGACTAAATTTTTAGTCGCCAATAGTGATTTTTTTTATTTATTATTTAAACATTTCCCGACTAAGATTTTCGTCGCCAAAAGGTATACCTTTCGGCGACCAATGCCTTTAGTCGCCAAAACCATATTTCACAAAAAAAAAAAAGTTGCCTCTGTGGAGGCCCCAAGGTTCAAACCTGTGTTCCCAACTTGCACCCCACTACGCCTTCCCAAGGCTTGCTCCCCCACTACGCCACTCCCAATTCACATGAATATTATTGCAACAAATATTATTTATATACTATATTCACCGGCATTAATACAAAATTGTATATATGAAAATAATTTTTTTTATTTAATATATTTTATGTAAAAAATAAAATATTTACAAAAAAAAGGGTAAGCACTTTTGGCGACTAAATCAGAATTTTAGTCGCCAATACTCTATTTTTTGGCTACTAATTTCTTTTCTGTCGCTAAAACAGTGACAACTCGCCTAAGGCTAGCACATTTGGCGACTAAACTCAATTTTGGTCGCCAAAACCTCTACTTTGGGCGACTAAAATGCATTTTAGTCGGCAATTCTTGACCTTTAGCTACTAATTTTTTTTTTTTTGTAGCCAAAAAACGTCACTTTCAGTGACTAAATTGTTTTTAGTCGGCAAAACTGCTATAATCAGCGACTAAACCTGTTTTTTGTCGCCAAAACCATAACTTTTCGCTACTAAATTATTTTAGTCGCCAAAAATCGTGACTTTTGGCTACTAAACAAACTTTAGTCGCTAAAAACCCTATATTCGGCGACTAAACTTCCTTTTAGTCGCTAAAACCCTGCTTTTCGGCGACTAAACTCTTTTAGTCGCTAAAACCGTTATGTTCGGCGACTAATTCCATTTTAGTCGCCATTTCATGCACTTTCAGCGACGAATTTTTTTTTTTTAGTCGCCGTTTGTGTTTTTTGTTGTAGTGATAGAAATGCAGTAAGAGTATGTTGAATTGGAGTGAAGCAGAATTTGGGTGAAAGTATGTATATGTCAAGTTTTCATGGAAGTTTAGAAACTCTGTTAGTTACACGAAAATTGTTTTTTTGTTTCTTGTTTTCAATCTCAAAGTAATAGCTTGACAAACATGTAGTTGGAAAAATATCATTTTTTCCCAGAAGAATATTGTTCTTTATTAAATTGTTATTATTTTTTCTTTTGTGTTTTTTTCTTTGGTTTTCTTGTCCTATATTGTTTCAAATGGTTGACATGTGAAATAAATTTCTCTTGTTTTCTTCAGTAGATTTTAGGAGTTCATTATTTTCATTGGTGAAATCATATTCATGTTCATCTTTGTACCGTTCTTCATTCTTTTGTGACCCAGAAATTATTTGGGATTGAAATGTTTAGGGATTAGGAATTATATTTCAATCAATATGAAAATAGAAATAGCAATAGTGGATTGGATGGAGGTTTAATTACAATGTAGTCTCAGTTCTTGTCAATTGCTAAAAAAATTTGATTATATTATGTATTTCAATATAAAGATTCTATACAGCTTATTTGATACCATGCAAAGATGACTCAATCAAATTGATTAAATTTCTCTTCAAACAATTTCACTCATTTTAACAAATATACCTCCGACTTCAAAATATTAAAACATTTCGAAATAAATAAATTTATATTTTTATTTAAATCCAATATTTGTTGGAACTAATCATTTAAGTCCAGATAGATCATATCTTGTAAATTATGTCCACGAATATTATATTCACCCATAATTTCTACAGAAAAAAAAAAATGCCAACATCATAACTACATTATGAACTTGGAAAGAAATTTGTTAAAAAAAATAAAGATGAAATATGTATAAAA